GGACGGTCTTGACGTCCTAACACAGCACCAGATTACGCTCTCTTTACTATCATACATGTGTCTTGTTTGATTTACACTATATCACAGCCTAACTCAATTACGAAATGTTCAGGTGCATTGGTGTCCTTGGGATGCTTCAGAGCTCCAGTACTATCTCAGTCCTGTCACTAGGGACGAGTCAGAGGAGTATCGCTGCAACGCCCCTCTTATTTTCTTCCACGTGGTCGAGATTCACTTGCCTGCCAGGGTCTGCAGACAGTTTAGAAGAATGACCGGCTGTCCACCACCGCTTTACTGCACCAACCAAGGATTGTATGGGTGCGTTATCGATTAATAACAAAGCTACAATTTAGAGGTGTGTGTGGTACAACTAACATCGTTTTGTTGCAGGTATGACCGCAGGAAGAGGTACAAGATCAAGGATTAGCGCGTGACACACAACACGCACATCCACTTGTGGGAGACCAGGGAACGGCAGCCGGTTGAAAGGTCCTTGTTGGTTTTGGTATTTGAGTGACAACCTAGGTGGACTAATTGTGTTTATGTGAGATACACATGTGATTAGTCCACAGGTACATGTGTATGAGCAACATATGCCATGGAGGTGAAAATGGCTTGGAGATGTTGCAAAGCTCACACATGTGATGATGAAGGAGCTTATTGCACATGAGACATGACATTGAGTCATGTGATCAAGGTGGAGAAGATCAAGACAAGACTTGGCTTGATGGACCGGTTGCAAGCGTGAAGGGCAAGTCAAAGGCTTTGGAGTGATGGACCGCGTGGCGGTGAAGCTTGAGCAAGACTTGGCGCCGATGGACGATAGCAACGATGAAGAGCAAGTAGAGTCAAGATCGATGAACCAATATGATCATGTGATGATATGAAGTGGATCATATCATTGTTGATCGTGTTGGTGCATGTGTTGCATCAACATTGAAGGAGATGGAATGGAATGCGCAAGGCAAAGGTATAACCTATGGCATTTCATTTCACCGGTCATAGGTGTGTAGAGAAGTTTATGACCGGGTTTAGGATAGATGGCCGTACTATCAAGAGGAGCAAACTTGTTTGCATGTCGGTCATCTAGTGCCACTCGAGTGATCTAACTTTGCATTATCGCTAGGATCGAGTGGCGTGGCAAGTTGAGTGGCTAACATCCTTTGGAAAATGATTGTGAAAATGCTAACACACATACACATGGTGGTGTACACTTGGTGGTGTTGGCACATTTACAAAGGAGGTGGTGTTTGCGAGGGTGAGATGGGTTTGGGTACCTCTCTCCTCCCGCCGAAGCTTGCGAGACGGGATTGGCGCTTTCGGGAAAATAGAATGCCTATTTTCTATTGCGCCGGATGCAAGTTCTTGTGGTTAGCACATTGGAGCAAGGGTGATGAAGTTAGAAGTGAAACGAAGTTAGTCGCGAAGATCTTTGGCGTCGGTCAACCGACCGGACGCTGGATCTGAATGCTGCCGACGACGGCTGGCGAGGCTGCGTCAGTCGACTAACGTCTGGCGACACAGAAAGTTGGTGTGACCGGACCGGACGCCGCGTCCGATCATGTGTGACCGGACGCGTCCGGTCGAGGTCGGTACTTTATTGAAACGACCGGACGACCGGGGTTCAGCGTCGGTCGCCGCTTGAAAAGCTGCGTCCGGTCAAGTCAAGTGACCGTTGGAATTAGGACACGTGGCCGTCTGCAGGCGACCGGACGCTGAGGTCCAGCGTCCGGTCAACACGACCGGAGCGTCCGGTCGACCCGACTGTTGCCTAGTGAAGGGGTAACGGCTAGTTTAGCCCTTGGGGCTATAAATAGAAGTGGCCCTCGGCCATGGCTGGTGCTGAGCACCTCAAGGGACTTAGTGTCCATGCTTGTGAGTGCTTAGGAGCCCTCCATCACACACATACTTGATAGCGATCATCTGATTGTGTGAGTGAGCGATTCTAGTGTGATTGTATCGTGAGGTTGCATCCAGTGGCACTAGGTGATCGAGTTTGCGAGCCAGTGGTGCTTGTTACTCTTGGAGGTTGCCACCTCCTAGACGGCTTGGTGGTGGTCTCTGTTGAAGCCGGCAAGAAGCTTGTGCGGCGCTCCGGAGAAGTGCTTGTGAGGGGTACTTGTGCTCGCCCCGCGGGAGTCGCGAAGAGCAACTTTAGTAAAGCGTGTCATTGAGCTACCCTCACTCAAGGGGTAGGTTCTTGCGGTGCCCGACGTGCGGGCTTAGCGGGTGATGCTAATTAGCCGTCGAACCACCAAGTGAGCGGTCGACACAATGGGGACTAGCGTGTTGGCAAACACGTGAACCTCGGGAGAAAAATCATCGTGTCAACCTTGTTCTTCCCGTTGGTTTGCATCCCCATTACACAAGCTTGCAATTACTTATATATATATCTTAAGCTTGTGTAGTCGCTCTTGTAATTAGATAGCTTGTGTAGCTAGCTAATTACCTTCTTGCTTGTGTAGCATAGAAGTAGCTCCCTTGCGTGGCTAATTTGGTTTTAGTAACCTTGTTAGTCACATTGCTTAGTTTGTGTAGCTAAGTATTTGCGCTCTCTAATTAGGCATTGGTTGCCTTGTTATTGAGCATTGCTAGTGAGCTTAGTTAGCTTTGTGCTTTTACTTACTAGCATGTGTAGGAGCTCCCTTGTTACTTAAAGTACTAGTGGCATAGGTTTGTGTGACCTTGCTCCTAGAATTGTTTAGGAGAGCTCTAGCTAGCCCGGCACCTTAGTTGCTTTATTAGTATCTTTGCAAGGTGCTAGTGAACATATATAGAGGGGTGTAGTCTTGGCTAGACCGATTGTTTTAATTCCGCATTTATATCGGTTAGCCGACGCGATTAATTTTAGAAAAGACTATTCACCCCCCCTCTAGTCCGCCATCTCGACCCTTCACCGGTCCATGCGGGTCCTCCACACGACCAGCACACCTTCGACGAGTACCTGCGCTGGCTTCACAGGTCTACGATGACACATATCAAGCCCCCGTACACTGAGGAGGCGATTGACGAGGACTCGGAGGAAGATGTGATCGAAGATGTGTACGACGTTGCCACTAGAGAGGACACACAGCTACAGAGAACCCCGCTACAAAGATACGTGGTAAGATACTTAAATGGTATAATTTGTTATCCATTTGGTATTAAGTATGTATACTAAAACTGTTCAACCGCGTTTCTGTACCCAGGCGACACAATTGTTGAGGCTGTCCAACGAAGCAGCGTTTCGGCTTCATGAGTCTAGAGGGTAAGGGCCAGGTGTTCTCGAGGCTTTTGTGGAGGTAAACATAAACTAGTCCGTTCTGAAAAATGTTTCTTTAGTATATATGCGTTTGGAAAATTCATTAACTTTAGCGTCTATTTATGCATAAGGTGAAGAAGAGCTGCAGGAAGCTAGCTCAAAAGCTGAGCTGCATGGACACTCCTTATGAGGAACCACCACTCCCGATACAGTCGGGTGGCACGTCTTCAGCCTCTTTGAGGACACCAGCCGGCTCTTCTCGGTAGGAGATAGGTGCCACTTCTATGGTGTGTACACCACCACATCATAGCTACTGGGAAGGACCACCGCAATCGAGGGACGACGATGACGACGGCGACGACGACCCCTCGGCTTTCGCAGACAAAGACGATCGATGGGACGATTGACCGTAGGGACGAGATCGACATATCTCGACTAGGTGGTGCCCGCTTGGTACCAAGGAGCCTCATAGGTATTAACAAAGGTAGTTTCTTTAAATACATAGGCTACATGAACTAACGATCATAAATAATTCTAAGTAATCGTGCATATCATATACTTGCAGGGTACGAGCCGTACGCACCGGCGACACGACCACACCGACGTTGGCTACACTTTCAACGTGTTGCCAACAAATCTAAAGAGATAGAGGCGCCCGAGGGATCTTTACACTTCTAGATCTTAGTTTGTTAGGTCGAACTATTATTGACGTCCGAAACTTGTAGGCTTAGTTGATTATGTTATATCGAACTTATGTCAAACCAATGAAAATATTATGTGGCAGATTGTCAACTTATGCACGGACTTCATTTATTTGCTTCATATTCGTTTCAATGCGTCGCGACATCACTACATGTGAGATTAAGTAGCAACTAGTTCGGAAACCGGCAGTCCCGAGGTATCTCGATGTCGGTGGCCAGCGTATTGCGCGAGGGGTCGAGGAAGCCGGGGTCCATAGTCGCGTCGCCGCCGATCCTACAATATGGGGCCAAAAAGCCAAATAATATAAGTCCCCTTAAAATTATATTCGTTTCAATCCGATTTAATTTTTCGTAATTGATTAATTAACATGGTGGTTAACCTAATTATGAAAGACATAAAAAATCATTGCCTTATTAAATTCTCTATTCGGCCGTGAAATAAATTTAACAAAAGACAGAAACAAATCCGCTATTGATTTTCGTCAAGCAATACTTAGAATAATTCCCACTATCGGCGCAACGCGTTCCGATTAAACCGTCCAGGTACCGCCGGACGGGCGGCGGGCGCGGCGGCCAGGTGGGCTTGCTGCTCGAGCAGGCGGGACTAGCCGTGGGGTTTTATTCGGCTCTGCCGCACCACAGATCAGGGCGTGGCATTGCCATGCCAAGGTCGGTGGCGCGGCAGGCCCTGCCATATCAACAGTCAGCGAATCCGGTCTCTGCCACGTCAACTCTCTACCGCGTCACCATACATGGCGCGACTAATGCATTTGGTTTAAAAAAACAGACAATGTTAATTTAAAATTAGTTTTAAAGAGCGTTAAAATTAAAAAAAAATCGCCCTACGCCTCCTCAAACTTCTCCGTTCCTTCCCAGCCGGCCACGGCCACGGCCACGGCCACGTCTCGCTCGCGTCGCGTCCACCTGCTAATTTTTGGTACAGTATAAAGGGCGCCCATCGCACCGCGCTGTCTCTCATCTCTCTGGTCTCCCTCTCCATTCCGGCCCGCTCCCCATTCCGATCCCAGCGCACGGGCAGTCCAGCCCGGTTCACGCGCATGGAGTCTCTAGTAGCTGCGCTCCCCGCGGGCGGCGCGGCGGCGGCGGCGGCGGCGGCGGCGGCGGCCGTCGGCGGGCTGGTGGCCGCTGCAGCGCTCGCCGGAAAGGCCGGCCTCGCCGGGCCCAAGAAACACCTCAACGCGCCCCCAGGTCAGTCACCCGACATGATCTTGCACTCTCTTGTCTAATGCGGAGCCTGTCGTCCTGATCCTTGATTAGTCCGGTTCCTTCTTCGGGCATCTGTACAAACTGCTTTTTCTTATGTTCTTGCTGGGGTGACGGAGGATTTAATTTAAGAAGAAATTCTTTCCAGCGTTCCGAATAATAATCACGTCCCTACATTCACCTTTCTTTTTTGCATAGAAAATTATAAATAAATTATTTCTTGCATTTCCTAGTGTGGTCGCTAATCCTAGAAAAAAAAGGGTATGGATTTTGATGCCATGTATACTGGACCACTACCGATTACCGAATCACATTCTGAGCGTGCCTGGGAATAGTTTAAGGTTGACTGGTTGAGCGGTGCTAAACTATCTGTAGCCTGCTCTCCATTAGTGCACACTTATCACCGGATTACTACGCATGCTGCCCAACGTGCCTAACTGCCTAAATACTTTTGGTTCCAGAATTAAAATCATAACCTCGAATTAGAGCAGTTTCTTAATCTGACAATAAGACATAATTTAAGCTAATGGTAGGCTGTGTGAAATTTACAGTGAAAATTTCTTGATTCGTGGCTCACCTAACATGAACAAAACAGAAGCTTCCAGAAGTTTGTGAGTTGTGTTAAAGCAAATATATGGAGTGTGGAATACTGATACATCCGCCTCCATGGCCCACCTAATTCATTGGTGTAGATCAGATCAACATCAATCTTGATCTAGTTGGGCTGTCCATAACTCTGACCTTCCACCAACTGACAGCAACAAGTCAAAGTGATATCTTTTTTCTTTGTAAAAGTTATGCAAAGCAGTCGACAGTCTTGAGATTTCCATGTGCAGTGTTGCAGGGAAATTTGTTATTTCGTTCCTTCATTTATATTTCTAAGAAACTAGTTTTTATCTAAAAAAAGATAAAATGGTGCCACTGCCATAATGCCATGTCACTTACTGAAACCCTCTATTTGCTTTTGATTAAAATGGTCATTTGTTCTGATTGAGGAACTGCTGAAAAGGAGCCTCCTGAAACTTCATCAGTACCTTTTTTTAAAGGCTTGCTCATGAATCAATTTTCCACAAGTTATTCTCTCTGCTTATTTCAGCTTCTTATTTTGATTTATAAACTGTCTAAGAGTCTAATACAAAGTATTTTGTTCCTTGAATACTTTTAAATTTTTATATTGTGTTGTGCCAAACTAAGGAAATATGTTTACATTATTACGTTGTATCCAAACCTTTGAATAGCAGTTTGCTTGGTGTTGTTTTACCATAGTATTCCTGGCAGTGAGGTAAGTGAATAACACTACCAAACTCCAGAAATCTTCATGAATATATAAATAATTTATTCTTGTAATTTGATATTGTATAAAAAAACTAGTTTGGGGCAAGCATATGCTTATTTCCACGTAGAAACTCAAAAATAACAATAACATAATATGGTACCAGGTTTAGCATTTAATGAACCTATGTTCTTATCAAATATTACAGATTTTCTGTCTGGGTAAAATAACTAAACCTTCGAGTTATTTTATTTCTTTTCATGCAGCTGTCCCTGGTTTACCAATGATTGGGAATCTTCATCAGTTGAAAGAGAAGAAACCCCACCAGACCTTTACAAAGTGGGCTGAAATTTATGGGCCAATTTACACTATAAGGACCGGTGCTTCTTCTGTAGTTGTGCTCAATTCAGCTCAAGTAGCCAAGGAGGTTAGTTGGAAGTTGTGTGTTTTCATCTTTTGTGGTTCCTTAACCTATAACATTGCGATTGGCTACTATACATATTTTTTTCTCCTGAAGTTTGGGTAACAGATGACAATTGGACCTTTAGTGGTGTTACCATGATTATTGCATAATAAACTCCACACTTTTAATGTTGTCTCTTCTAGTATTTTTCTTAGCAATACGAGTTTCTAATGGTGATCTCCTAAGTCAAACACTGATATGAGAGTTCTGTTTGCATCCTGAAACAAAATCTTTAACAAAAAAAAGACTATTTTACAACCCTGACATTGTATGTTTTTCTCGAACACTGACATTGTATGTTTGACTCATTATTCAAAATATCAGCGTAACATCAAATTCTCCCAACTGATGAAAATAATCAAGAAAAAATATTAAGTTATTTTATTGACATAGGGTATAGTGTCATCTTTCATCCCCACAAAATTTGAAACCAAGGCTAAACTTGTATGTGGAGCAATAAAAAAGAAAAAAATTAGGGCGTGATCTGATCCAGTTTGAATAATTTGTGGTAGTAAATTGAGTCAACATTTTGTATGGGGGTTAAATGGAAAAATAAAATAGTTTAGATGGTATAAATGGGTTTCTGTTAATGATAGAGTTGATGGCCAGGTCCGTAGAAGGCTTAAATTCGGTCATCATCCTAGGTGCTTGGGCTATCTGGACTCACCACAACCGGTGTGTTTTCGATGGCATTTCCCTTTTCTCGACTGGTTTTATGCCACTAGCTTTAGAGGAGTTGAGGTTTTGGAGTTTGGTTAGGATTTGAGATGTGTCTTATCTCGTTGCCCTTGTGCCGGTTTGTATTTAAAGTTTTATTAATTAGTTTGCGTGAATTTTAGTTCTACAGTTGTTTTGTGTGTGTGTCATGTGGGGCGCATCTACACCAGCAGCACGGAGGGCCATGACGACGTCACGTGAGGTCATGGAACAAGCGAAGACGCTGAGGGAGCGCAGACGGTGACATGTGAGGCCAGTGCCACCACCAAGTGGCTAAGTTAGGAAAGACAGCAGTAGCTTTCTATTTTCAGTTCCTAAATTCCGGGAGGAGTGTAGCTCTGATTGGTTGAGGCCGGTGGCCATATATTCCAGTAATCGCACATTGGTTGGGCAAGCAAGATTATTATCCCATCTAATCTCTCTCTCTCTCTCAACGAAAGCCTACGGTAGAGGGGCAAAACCTCGCCGGAGAAGACGGACCGAGGCTACGATCTCCGTAGCCGAGGGCCAGCTACCCTAGGGCTCGACGCCCTTGACAACCTGGTATCACGGTCCCGGCGATCCTCGCCATCTCGCTCCACCTCGCCGACCCCAGCCGCCGCTCTAACCCCGCATTTTTCTTGTTAATATTATGATAAGCGTGTCTCTTGCGTGTTCGAGAAAAAAATGGTACAAATGGATTTCCTTCTTCCTATTTTAAAAACTAATCTGATGTTATCCTGGCTATAATTTTTCTTGTGATGGAATGAGCCTTTTTGCTTCAAAGACATACCAGGATAAAAGTTATAGTGTTGTTGTAATATTGTTTCTTCTTACATTTGCCAAAATTAATATGACAGTTATTTTGGTCCTGCATTTTACAGGCAATGATTGCAAAATTCTCATCAATATCTACTCGAAAGCTATCTAAGGCATTGTCGGTGCTCACCCATGACAAAACTATGGTTGCTACAAGTGACTATGGTGACTTCCACAAAATGGTTAAGCGTTATGTCATGACATCCATCTTTGGGTACTTACGGCCGGTATAGGTTACAATTTTGACATCACACAATTGTAATAACTGTTCTTCAAAGTGTCAACCACGACTTCAATCAAACTGAGGTCTAACAATGCTGTGATTGCACATAACATCAGAAACAATTTAGGGACACAAGAAACATGATGGTTGACAACATGTTGAACACTTTCCACACATTGTTGACCGATGATCCAAATTCTCCTCTGAACTTCCGTGAAGTCTTCAAGAATGAATTATTTCGCTTATCCCTGATTCAAGTAAGTCTACATTTAGTGTGGTTGTTCATGGTTGCTCCATAAATTTTTATTACCTTTGTTCATAAATAGATGATATCCTAGAGCTTGTCAAACTTTACAAACTTTTCCCACTAATTGTCAAGGGCCTTGTCGTTGAAGGTAGGAGGCCCTCGGCTACGGAGGTCGTAGCCTCGATCCGTGTCGTCTCCGGTGAGGTTTCCCCTCCACCGAGAGGCTTAGTTGAGAGGTAGAAGGAGATTGGAAATAATGATATTGCTTAATCCTCAAGGTGCCGATTACAATCTCTTAATAGCCTCTCGCTAAACAGCCATGCCTAGAATTAAGGAAAGCCAAACAACTAATTTGGAAAGGCAAACAACTAATTGATCCTATCTATTCTTAGCCACTACCAGGCTACCACCCCACTTATTTGGTCGCTTCAATGGCGTGGCCTCTCACCATGGCTGGCTGGCGCTCTCAGGGCTTGGCGACGTCTCGCAGAGACGACGGCGGGCGGCTCTCATTTAACGTCGTCCCCACATGACATCTCCCCTTCCTCGAGAGCAAGGCGTCCTCGCTGGAATTCAGGTACTTGGCGGTGAAGGCCCGAGGTCCTCCTGTAGTCAAGCCGGCGACGCCCCTTCCATGGATCGAGAGTGGCGGACACCTGGCGAGGCGTGTTTTGACCGCACGTTCGGCTGGAACCACCGCACCGTGGTGGACATGGCGGCGGAGGAGAGCATCCGCGGTGCGCCATGGAACTTCTTGAGAAGACCCACGTGGAACACGTCATGCAGCCTGGCGCGAGGCGGAAGAGCAAGACGAACAGCGACGTCGTTGATGAGCTCGGTGATGCGGTACGGCCCGTAGAAGCGTGGGCGCAGCTTGCCGGTAGCGGACTGGGACAGGGAGGCCGTCGGGCGATGACGGAGACGGAGCAGCACCCAGTCGCCCACCGTGTACGCGACCTGACGGTGGGTCTTATCGTAGTGGCGCTTCTGGACCTGCTGAGCTTGCTCCAGGCGGGCGCGGATGTCGGCGAGGAATTCATCCCGTTCCTCCAGGGACTTGGCAACCGCGGCCACCCTGGTGTCACCTGGCGCATACGACCGGATGGATGGAGGGTCCCGGCCGTACACCACTTTGAATGGAGTATCGCGGAGCGAGGACTGATAAGCGGTGTTGAAGACGTACTCCGCCCACGGGAGCCACTGCAGCCACTGCCTTGGCCGGTCACCAGTGAGGCATCGCAGGAACATGATGATGACGCGGTTGGCCGACTCGGATTGCCCATCAGACTGTGGGTGGAACGCCGTCGTCATGTGGAGCCGGGTGCCCACCAAGCGCATCAGCTCGCGCCAAAAGGTGGAGGTGAAGACCGTGTCCCTGTCTGACACGATGGACTGCGGCACCCCATGGAGGCGGACGATCTCGGCGAAGAACACTTGGGCGACGGACTCGGCGGAGTACGGGTGGGACAGTGGGAGGAAGTGGCAATACTTGCTGAATCTGTCGACGACCGTCAGGATGACTGATTTCCCCCGGACGCGCGGCAGCGCCTCCACAAAGTCGAGGGCGATGTCAGTCCACACACCTTGGGGCACCGGCAGTGGCAGAAGCAGGCCCGCCGGATGCAGCTGTTCTGATTTATAGCGCTGGCAAGTCGCGCATGCCCGCACCCAATCCTGCACAAGCTTTTTCATGTTAGGGAAATGGAAGTCGCGCCGCAGCCGATGCAGCGTTCTCTGTACGCCTTCGTGTCCCTCCGCATGGACAGCCGCCAGCAGCTCAGGCAGCAACGGGGACGCCGGCGGGATATACAGCCGCCCGCCGAACTGAATGAGCCCGTCCACCTGCGCCCAGGGGAGGCCGCGAGAGCCGGCTGCGAGATCGTCATGCAGGGCGACGAGGGCGGGATCCGTTGTCTGTGCTTGGCGGAGCCGGTCGAGGAAGTCGAAGTGGGGGGCCGAGAGGGCGATAACCGAGCCCTCCGTCGGCGTATCGCGGCGGGACAGCGCGTCCGCCACAGCATTTGTTGTCCCCGGCTTGTACTCGACGGAGAAATCAAAGCCAAGGAGCTTCCCCACCCAATGATGCTGCGGAATTGTAGCAAGGCGTTGGTCCAGCAAATATTTGAGGCTGTAATGATCGGTCTTCACGGTGAAGCGACGCCCCCACAGGTACGGTCGCCAATGCCGAACTGCGTGCACGAGACCAATCAGCTCACGTTCATATGCCGCGAGCGCCCGATGGCGAGGGGCCACCGGCCGGCTGAAGAAGGCCACCGGGGTGGCTGTCCTGGACCAGCACCGCCCCGAAGCCGTGGGAGGAGGCGTCGCACTCGACGATGAAGGCCTTGGAGAAGTCCGGCATGGCGAGGACTGGGGCAGAGGTGACCGCGGCCTTGAGGGCCTCGAACGCCGCCGCGGCCTCCCCCGACCACAGGAAACCGTCCTTCTTCAGCAGGGCGGTGAGCGGTGCTGCAATGGTGCCGTAGTTGTGCACGAATTTACGGTAGTAGCCCGCCAAGCCGAGGAAGCCGCGTACCGCGCGCGCCGAGCGCGGGATCGGCCATGCCTGCACCGCCTGCACCTTGTCCGGATCCATGGCCACGCCTGTCTGGGAGATGACATGGCCGAGGTACGCGACGGAGGAGGTGGCGAAGGCGCACTTGGAGCGCTTGAGGAAGAGGCGGTGCCGCTGCAGTTCGCTGAGGACGGCGCGGATGTGTCGAAGGTGATCCGCCCATGTGCGGCTGTAGATTAGTATGTCATCAAAAAACACAAGAACGAACCGACGAAGGAACGGCCGGAGAACATCATTCATCAGCGCCTGGAACGTGGCCGGCGCGTTGCACAGCCCAAACGGCATGACGAGGAACTCGTAGAGGCCATCATGAGTGCGGAAGGCGGTCTTGTGGATGTCGGCTGGCCGCATCCGCACTTGGTGGTAGCCCGAGCGGAGATCAAGCTTGGTGAAGAACCGCGCCCCGTGGAGTTCATCCAAGAGCTCGTCGACGACGGGGATGGGAAAGGCGTCCTTGACCGTAATCGCGTTGAGAGCGCGGTAGTCGACGCAGAAACGCCACGACCCGTCTTGCTTCTTGACGAGGAGGACCGGCGACGAGAACGCGGAGTCGCTGCGGCGGACGATGCCCTGCGCGATCATGGCTGCACACTGGCGCTCCAGTTCATCCTTGTGGGCGGCGGGGTAGCGATAGGGTCGCACGGCCACCGGCTGTGCCCCCGGCTTGAGGACGATAGCGTGGTCGCGTCCACGCTGCGGGGGCAGGCCAGAGGGCTCGGCGAAGACCCCCTGGAAGGAGTCCAGCAGCTCGCCAAGCAGGTCCGCCTCGACGGCAGTGGTGGCGAGCGACGGCGCCGGGCGCGCAGACACGTCAGACCAGCACACCACCCGGTCCTGCCGAGCAAAGGACATGGTGCGCGCCTGGAAGTCCCACGTGATCGGCCCCAGGGTGACCAGCCACTGGGTCCCCAGGACCAAGTCGTATCCCGCCAGCGGCAGCACGAAGAGGTCCACCTGAAAAGCTTCCCCGGCGATGGTGATCGGCGCCTGACGTAGGACGCCCTCGCACTGGAGCTTCTCGCCGTTGGCCACGGTAGCAGTGAGGCGTGGCTTGGCCTGGACGGCCAGGTTGGTGCGGCGCGCCGCCTCCTCGGCGATGAAATTATGCGAAGACCCCGTGTCGAGGAGGGCGATCAGCGTGACGTCGCCCACCTGCACCTTGACCTGCATGGTGTCACAAGGAGGCACCCCGGCGACAGCCCGGAGCGAGAAAACAGGGGCCTCAGCATCAGGCCCGTCGACTGCAGCGGCTTCGGTGTCGGTGAGGGTGACCCCGTCGATGTAGAACAGCCGGCGGCAGACCCTGTTATGGCCGCGGGAGTATTTCTCGTCGCAGTTGTAACACAGCCCCAACCGGCGACGTTCCGCCTGCTCCTCCGTCGAGAGGCGTTTGACCGGCTTGGGTTCCTGCCTGGCACCCCCTGCGCCGGCCGGTGGTGGGGGGGCAGGGAGCGCGAGGCGCGGCGCTGGGGCAGGTAGCAGGGCGCGGCCCGCAGGACGTGCGGGGGGCGGCACCGCGGCCGGCCTGTCGAGCTCCATCAACTCCACCTGCCGGGCGAGGCTCATGGCGGCCGCGAGTGACTGCGGGTTTTGGATCCGCACCGCGTGGCTCAGCGGCGGCAGGAGGCCTCCCGTGAAGAGTTCGACGCGCTGCTTCTCCTGCAGGGGCCCGGCGCGAGGCAGAAGCGCCTGGAACCGGTTCTGGTACTCTTCGACAGTCCCGGTGCGCCGACATTCCGCGAGTTCGAAGAGCGGCGCGGAGCGCAGAGGCGGCCCAAAACGCAGCTGGAGCAGATCCTTGAAGTGGTTCCACCCCGGCACGCCCTCGTCTTCCCGGAGCTGGTAGTACCACATCTGCGCCACATCCTCCAAATTGTACGAGGCCATCCAGACCTTCTCCTCCTCCATGATTCTCTGTTGGTGGAAGTAAGATTCACAATGGTGAGGAAGATCAACGGGTCGACTGCACCATCATAAAGCGCCGGAAAGTCCATTTTCCGGAAGCGGGGGACGGTCGAGTGTGGTGTTGGCCGTCAAGTCCCGCCTGCCCCGACGAGAAGGAGGATTTCTCCTTATCCTTCTTCAGGGTCGCGACGTCCGACTGCAGGGACGCGATCGTGCCGGTGAGGCTCGCAATCATCTTGGCGAGGTCGGCGTTGGACGGCTCCGACATGGGTGAAGTGGCAGAGGCGGCTGATGGTGGGGAAGGAGGTGGGCTGAGATGGGGAGCGGCGGCGATGGAAGACTTCGTGGGCGGACGATGAGGACCGGTGTGACCTTGATACCAGGTTGTCAAGGGCCTTGTCGTTGAAGGTAGGAGGCCCTCGGCTACGGAGGTCGTAGCCTCGATCCGTGTCGTCTCCGGTGAGGTTTTCCCCCTCCACCGTAGGCTTAGTTGAGAGGTAGAAGGAGATTGGAAATAATGATATTGCTTAATCCTCAAGGTGCCGATTACAATCTCTTAATAGCCTCTGGCTAAACAGCCATGCCTAGAATTAAGGAAAGCCAAACAACTAATTTGGAAAGGCAAACAACTAATTGATCCTATCTATTCTTAGCCACTACCCGTGGCCACCCCAGCCGCCGGCTGGTCGCTTTCTGTGGCGTGGCCCTCCCCAGCCGCGGCCTGGGCGCGCTCTGTGGCGCGGCGCACGTCTCGCGCACGGCGGCGTCTCACGAACGTGCGTCCCCACATGACACTAATGCACATAAAAGTATTAAGATTTAGCACATGGAAATGATATTCTGGATTTGTCATCATCAAATTTATATAAACTTTTGTAAAGAAATAACTGTTGTCGATGTAATGGAGGTAGTAGTAGCTTCCATGCATATCATGGTTAAGATTTAAGAACTTCACATTGGCCTGTATACATTTCTGAGATTGCCTGCTGCAATTTCAGGCTTTAGGTGAGGATGTGAGTTCAGTCTATGTGGAAGAGTATGGGAAGGTTATATCAAAGGAGGAAATCTACCAGGCCACTGTGGCTGACATGATGATGTGTGCAATTGAGGTCGACTGGAGGGATTTCTTCCCATACCTCAGCTGGATTCCAAATAGGAGCTTTGAAACAAGAGTACTGACTACGGATGCTAGGAGAACTACAGTGATGCAAGCCTTGATCAATCAGCAAAAGCAAAGAATTGCACGTGGAGAGGTAACACAAAGGGATACTTCAACAATTTTGTAGAGAGAGAATATATAGAAAGGTTATTCTTGAGTTCTTAAATCAGTATAAACTCCAACGCAGACTAGGATATCCTACCTGGACTTCCTGCTGGCAGAGAATACACTGACTGATGAACAGTTACTGATGCTGGTGTGGGAGGCAGTCATAGAAGCTGCTGATACTACTTTGGTCACGACCGAGTGGGCCATGTATGAGATTGCGAAGCACCCAGAGAAACAGGTAAGCATTGAAGCTTGTTTTTCACCTTGTAGAAAGACTGTTAACTACTTATACTCTTTGGTAACCACATTTCTTTCGCACATCAGGAATACCTTTATCAAGAAATCCAAAAAGTGTGTGGCAATAAGACAGTTACCGAGGATCACCTGCCAGAGTTACCTTACTTGAACGCGGTGTTCCATGAGACCCTGAGGCGGCATTCTCCAGTTCCATTAGTGCCTCCAAGATTTGTCCATGAGAATACCAACTTGGCTGGCTATGAGGTTCTAGCCGGCACAGAGGTGAGCACAACAATGACCACTAATACTCTCACAGCAAGCTAAGTGTTGCATATTGTTGGCTGCTGGCAGGTGAAGTTCTAACACAATTCTCAAATCTGCTAGATGATCATCAATCTGTACGGATGCAACATGAACAAAAGCGACTGGGCCGATCCTGAGGAATGGAAGCCAGAGAGGTTTCTGGACGGGAGGTTTGAGGCTGCAGATCTGTACAAGACCATGGCCTTTGGTGCAGGAAGGAGGGCCTGTGCTGGCAGTATGCAGGCGGTGAACATCTCGTGCACAGCCATCGCTAGGTTTGTGCAAGAGTTTGCCTGGAGGCTCAAGGAAGGTGACGAGGACAAGGCTGACACCATCCAGCTTACAACCAACAGGCTTTACCCATTGCATGTGTACCTCACGCCTAGAGGAAGGAAATGAGCATCAGGTTACTGTACTTGTCAGTAATTTGCTGTTGCCTACAGGAGACCCACCGATGAACCAAAATGGTCTTCACACAATACTTATAGCCTTTAACAGAGTATCTATATGAAAGACGTATTTTAGGTGCTAGGAGAGATATAACCTAAATCTGAGTATCCTTTCTTCTGTGAACCTATTTACAGAAAGGGTTGTCTTTTAGATCTTGATGTTGGAGACGATAAAAAAAAAAAGTATTGAACTCTTTACCTATAGCGCTGTCAAAGAACGAATGACCCAATTTTGGGTCGCGATGGAGATGCTGTGGAAGTTTCGGTTCATAGTGTACGGAGTACGTGTCCCATGTTGATCCTACGGTAGGGATTGGTCGAACGAGCTTGCCTTTACTTTTCAGGCGGTCATGCCAAATTTATCTTCCCACACATTCACGACGGGCCGGGAAGGCTGCCGGCGGGCGGGCCATGTGGAAGGCGCGGGGGAGAAGCATAATACGGAGTAGTATTTTCTTTTTCATGTATGCAAGTATTCATGGATACTGCTCCCCTATACCTCCCGTCACATGTTTTGACCGAACCGTGCTGATTATTGGAATAAATCATGATCAGACTGATGAGACGACAGCAGTGCTCTCTTTTTCTTCCCACGCCTTGCGACTCGTTTCTGTACTCCCTCAGTTTCAGAAAGATTGCAATTTTAGCATAGTATTATGTTTTTAGTATCTTAAGTTTAATTAATTATAAATAAAAAATATCAATATTTATAATATCAAATAAATACTATTAGATTAAGTATAAAATATATTTTTATAATAAATTGATTTGGAGCTATAAATATAAATAGTATTTATTAGAAACTTGGTTAAACGTGAACCATTATATATGACACCCTGCTAATAGTTTATTTTTTGGGACAGTGGCAGTACATCTTTTTCCTTGATTGATTGACTTGAATTGCTCTGCTATTTTTTGTATACAAATATACAATACAAGTATAAAAAGGAGGGCCACAGTCGCATTCCGCCACTGTAAGTCCCAGCTCCCTCTCCAAAAAGAAAAAACAAATTATTGGACTATACTTGTGGCCGATGTTTGTTTATCATCGCCCTTAGAATAAAAAAATATACATGTGTGGCCACTACTTTATTATCGCTCTTAGAACAATGGTTAAACATGGTCGATATTCTATTATCGCCCTTAGATAAAATATGACTGATACGTGTGTTGACATCGTTCTTAGTCAGCGCCTCCACCAGGGCGGCCTCCATCTACTCCTTGTCCTCCTTGCCGATCTGTACCGCTGTTCCCACCAAGTAGACCGTGGCCGTGTGGTGAACACCGTTGTCGGGTTCATAAACCCAGGGTCCCTCGGGGACCGGCTTCCACGCGCCCAAGCAGACAGCACGTAACTTATGGGCCGACCTAAGAGTCTAAAAACAACAGGCCGGAAGGGCGGTCCAGTCACCGACCGGAAGGTCTGGCCGAAGAGGAACAACGCCCGCTCGTCGACTACTTCGGCCCACCTCTCCGACCGGAGCACTCGCTTCGAACTCCAGCTGCCTCCGGACGGCCTCTCCGATCGGAAGGCCTGGCCCAAGCACTACTTCCGACACCGACCCCGCGTCTTCGACCGGGGTTCACAGGAACCTTGCTCACCGCTCTTCTCCGACTGGCGCGACTAGAGCCGACTGGGGCCATCCGACCGGGGACGCCCGCTCGGAAAGGACCAGGGGACGAACGGAGAAAGCAAGCCAGGGCGCACAAGTCAAACCACGATACCAGAGACCATACCCTGTACGCCTGCAGGAACAATACTCTGCAACCGTCCTGACACAAATAGTATTATAGGCGCCGACATTTCCCTCTACAGTATTGTGGGCGCCATTAACTCTCATACGGTAAGGCCCCCATATGCCTCTGGGCATCGATAGTGTTGTGGGCGCCGGGATTTACTGTACCAGGTGAACATGGTGAAACTCCTCACATGCCTCTAGGCATCAAACAGTATTTGCAGGTACCGACATCTACCATTCCTAAAGAAGGCAACGCAGCCTCCCACATGCATCTGTCATTCTATAGTGACATCAACAGTGTTGTGGGCGCCTACCATTATCTTGTACCCACCGGTATGGGCAACAAAGCTCAGTAGCATACGAACCCTCACCCTCTCACTTGTAAAGCCATCCCCTTTATCTATAAAAGGGGACGCGCTCCCTCCAACGAAAGAGAGTCTTTTAGTAAAACAAACACCGATCAAGTTCACTAGCTCACAACCACAGAACCGCCGGGTTCGGACCTCAAGCACACGCTTGAACACTTAGCTCATAGCGTAGCTCCCGTCACTCTCGGCCCTTCCGACCGGACCTCTTGTACACCCCATCTTTCTCCTTCTCGTTTGTAACCCCACTACAAACTTCGAGCACCTGGGCTCAGGAATAAAGTCACTGACCGACCTAAACTGGACGTAGGGCATGTTGCTTGAACTAGTATAAATCCTGTGTTATTGAGTGCTAGGCCACCTCCGATCACAACGTACGACAAAACTACAAATATTCACTAGTTGGTAACAAACACCGATCAAGTTCACTAGCTCACAACCACAGAACCGCCGGGTTCGGACCTCAAGCACACGCTTGAACACTTAGCTCATAGCGTAGCTCCCGTCGCTCTCGGCCCTTCCGACCGGACCTCTGGTACACCCCATCTTTCTCCTTCTCGTTTGTAACCCCACTGCAAACTTCGAGCACCTGGGCTCAGGAATAAAGTCACTGACCAACCCAAACTGGACGTAGGGCACATTGCCTGAACCTGTATAAACCCTATGTCATTGAGTGCTAGGCCACCTTCGATCACAACGTACGGCAAAACTACAAATATTCAACAGTGTTGTGGGCGCCTACCATTATCTTGTACCCGTCGGCATGGGCAACAAAGCTCAGTAGCATATGAACCCTCACCCTCTCACTTGTAAAGCCATCCCCTTTATCTATAAAAGGGGATGCTCTCCCTCCAACGAAAGAGAGTCTTTTAGTAAAACAAACATCGATCAAGTTCACTAGCTCACAACCACAGAACCGCCGGGTTCAGACCTCAAGCACATGCTTGAACACTTAGCTCATAGCGTAGCTCCCGCCGCTCTCGGCCCTTCCGACCTGGACCTCTTGTACACCCCATCTTTCTCCTTCTCGTTTGTAACCCCACTACAAACTTCGAGCACCTAGGCTCAGGAATAAAGTCACTGACCGACCCAAACTGGACGTAGGGCACTTTGCCTGAACTAGTATAAACCCTATGTCATTGAGTGCTAGGCCACCTCCGATCACAACGTACGGCAAAACTACAAATATTCACTAGTTGGTCACTTTCTGCGCCGACAGTTGGCGCCGTCCGTGGGAAAGACGTTGTATGTTCAACACTTTTTGGTCATCGGATGGCCCACTTTTCTGCCACCCTCGCCATGGCGGGCTCGGGCGATACGATTCGCTTTGGCTCGCTGGAGTTCCCCGCACTCTCACCGGCTGGGATGCGGGTTCCACCTGTCTTCGAGCCATCCCAGGCCTTCCTCTTTGGAAGCCTAGACTTTGTCACCGACCGGCTTGGCGTACTACACCTCTACGAGGAGGCTCACGTCCTGGCACCCGTCGGAGGGGCACCCTCCATTGACTCCGGGATGCACGACTTCGACGACGTGGCATCTGCGCTTCATTCCAAGCAAACTCTCTGCTCAAACCCCGCTGTGAGTAATGTACATGCTGTTATTTACTTGCTATCTTCTATCTTCCGCCAATTACCTGGAGGGATGTCGTTGTCCCCGTCGTGGCCGCCATACGGCCGGTTCCCCCATGGCCTCGTGTCTCCCATGGACACGTACGCTCGGGGGCTCCAAAATATGCCGGCGCCGCCCCCTCTCATGTCTGAGTTCGTGGGGATGGCGAGCTATGTTCCCACCTATTTCCTCGACCTCATGGATAATGACGCCGGAGGACGGCTCCAAAGATCGGCGACGTGGCACCTAGCCACCGCCTCGTCATCCGGAGTGCGCTATGGCGGACGCTTCAGAGACACCCGCCCGAGGGTAACGGAGTCCTTGCGCACTCATGCCCTCCAGCCCTCATGCGGAGAGACCCGAGCTACACGTGAGCACGGGAGGAACTCACGACAACAAAGGGCGTCGACGCCCACCGACTACGCCAGCAAGGCTCGAAGCACCACGTTGCGCCCGTGCGCGTGAGATCGACGAAGCGGTGCCCGCCAGGTCAAAATAACACCATGGACAGGGATCGATCCCCCACAGTTCGCTCGGGCCGGTCAGAACATCGCCACCACGGCAATGCTCCTGCGCGGCCTGGCCGAGCCGAACGACCCTCATGAACAGCGATCCACCGTAACCGGGCACTAGTGGAGACCATCGCCGCTCAACAAGCAGAGTGCTCAGATCACGATGTCGAGTCGCGGCCACGCCTCGTCGTGAGGAACGGGGACGCAGCAGTGGGTCGCTCCACCCGATCGCCGCCATAATCGCCGGCGTGGCAGGCACAGGAGGCCGCATTGGCACTTCATCTTAACTTGATGACCGCTCCACACTAACCACCAGTATACGCGCGGCTCGGACCAAACCGAGACACACGCAGCAGCAACCGGAGTCCTAGCCCTGATGGCTCGGGACCACGGACCTTTGTCCAAAACCTCCAACAAACGTCGCTCCTGTCGTGCTCCAACGGAGGCCAGGGCAAGGCCAAGGCCAAGCGCCAGGATCAGGATGAGGGCCCCTCCACGCAGAGAGGGAAAAGAATAGAAAGAATCGCTGCCGACCGGCCAACTCCGTGTTGGTCACCACGGCTGATCATGCGGGCACGCAGCCCCAGCAGGACCCTCCGGGCCACTTCCACGAGCTCATGGAGAGCCCGTGCACCAACCATGACTACCCCATAAAACACCTCTATAATGACTGCCAGCTCCTCAAGCGCCTTCTGCGGTAGGCCGGCAGGCCAAAGAAAAAAAAGG